CCAACTGCTTCCACGGGCAGCGGTGGTGGATCTGAATCAAAAGATCCTGAACAGCCTCCATCTTCTCTCCACGTCTCATGATGTTTCTTGCTGGCCCAGCTCTGAGGAGTTCTGTTTTCTCTGAGTAGAGGCTGCATCAACCCTGCAGACACGGGCTGCAACATGGGCTCCTTCAAACACACCGATGACGCAAGATGACAACAGGTGTGCCGTGGAGCTCCTGCAGGTTCCATCGCAGATGGCTGCCCTAAAGCAAATGTCCTATAAAGCTGGTCACACACCTTTTTGGCAAAGAGACACGACGCTTCCCCTAGACGGGTGGCATCACTGTGACAAGGCCCGCAGGTTGAAACCCCCAGACGCTCCACAGGGAGCATTCTCACGTAAAGTAGTATGGTCTCAGACCCACCGCAGGGCAGGTCGGCCCGGCCCTGTCCTATAAGGTGGCTGTGAGTCGGATTCTCCACTCGATGGCAGGGAGTTGAGCGAGGGTCTACCTGTGAAGCCTGCGATAGCTCTCTCAGGGAATGTTTGAAAGATGGGGAGACCGGCCAACATGGGACACGGGTCATGAGCACGCGCTGCTGCAAAAATGGTGCCCATGGGCTTGCTGGGCGCAGGGGAGCCACAAACCGTCCGTCTGTAGGACATCAAACAGTACCTGTGAAGCCTAACAAAACCAGGTAAGGCTCGCGATCCGAGAATGACCCGGGGCCAGGCAGTGTTTCGGTCCGTTATGCATGAGGTCTCTGTGTGTCCGAATTGACTCCAGTGGACAGGGAGGCAACTAGAGGGGCTGGTGTGGTGGGTGTGGGGCGGGGAGGGAGCCGTGGGGGGGCCAGGCAGGGCCTCTGAGCTCTGCGTCAGTGACCGGTCCCCTTCCCTCGGCACAGGCAGCAGTGGCCCTGGACTGCCCAGCCCAGTACCTCTGACCTCGAGAGTCCAGCTCAGATGGCTTTCGGTGTCTCATGTCCCTCACACCTGCGTGCACACCTGCACGCGCGCGCGGAACAGGCCCTCTTTATCGCGTCCACCCTGTCGGCGTGTCTGTTGAATGCACGGGAATGATTCACGGCTGGTTTCAGTCAGAGGGAAGAGGAATGAAGAAAACCGCAGACGCATCACTGAAACGTGTCCAAAGGACGAAGGGAACACAGGAGCCACAGAGACCAGAGCTAGAGGTGGCCCTGCTGCCTCTACTGATCCCTCCGATCAGGGCCCTATAGAGTTCTACATGAAATGGGGGGGGGGAGGAATGTTGACCAAAATAAAAAACCAGACTTACTGGTCTGATCAGGAGTGGTGGACCCTCGAGGCTGTGAGCCTTGGGCATTGTTGAAACCAGGAACCGAGCCCATTCCCATTCCGGCAGCACCTTGTAGTCAAACAATAGCCAGGCCAATAAAGTGAACAGTCAATCACATCCTGAGGAACATACCCGCCAAGCAGTCAAAGGTGGGGACAAAAGGCCAGCATTGGCCCCAAAACAAAACTCTGGAGGGAGGGAGGGGTGAGAAAGATGGACAGAGGGACACAAGGGACCAAGAAAAAAGTGGGAAGCGTGCATTTGCACAGAGGGAATTGCAACCAATGATA